GTGGTTCTGCATATCTAGGTTAATGATTGCCTCTTCGATTGGTGGTTCTCTATTTAATACCTCCTGAAAATGTTCTTTCCACCTCTTTGACACCTCTTCTTGTTTTGTAATTCTTGTTCCGTCTTTTCATTTTACAGTTGAAGACGAATTTATTTGGTACGATCCTATGAGAGATTTTGTAATTTTGTATAATGTACCTAGATCTCCTCTGTTGGCTGCTTTTTCCGCTTCTTTCGTTTGTTCTTCAAAGAATTGTTGTTTATCTTCTTTCACACTCTTCTTCACTTGTTTATTCTTCCGTTTATACGTATTATCTCTCATAAAGTTTCCCTTTCTTGAGAGAATTTCTTGTTTCAGTTTCTTTCTCTCTTCGATAAGATTCCATGATTTTGGTGTCATCCATGTTTTCCATGCTTTTTCTTTTGCCCTAGGACCAAACTGCTTGTCTCTGTAAAAGCCTGTTTAAATTTTGTCCAGCCACTCTCAATGTCCTCAGTCGGTAGCTCTTCTAGTACTTCAAAACTATTCTTGAGATTGATTTCAAAGATGTTTATAGTGACTGGGTCTCTCAGCCTCTGAGTGTTAAAGAGAATTTCTGGCTTTTTGTTTGACGTTTTACGTAATTTTAATTTAATTTGGCTTGCCAGTAAGTGATGATCACTTCCCACATCAGCACCTCTTTTTGCCTTGACATCTTGAAGGGATGTCCTCCATTTTCTATTTATTGTGATGTGGTCAATCTGATTTTTTGTTTTTTTAATATTATATATATTTTATTGTAGGCCTATGTGTTGCTGGGCCATGGAAGATAAAATTATTTTTTACACTGACCAGGTCAACCAGTGTAAAGAAGAAATAAATGAAAAAATAAATAGTATGGCTGTACGTTGCTGCACCCCTACCGCTCGGCCATTCGACTCAATAAAAGAGTTAACTCAGCTCTAGCTCACGCTGTCAGTGTTTTTACCGTTTCTTTTTGGAACCAAAAATAAAACGTTAATCATGAATGTATCACACAAACATAAAAATCACCAGCTAATTCGTTACTTGTTTTTAAACGAGAGAAAATCAACGATCCATTACAAATGAGGGTAAGAAATATACGTGGACGATAATAAATCGAACTAAAATTAAAATTTTGGTGTAAATCAATTATGTTAAAATTGTAACCTTGGTTAGTAAACGCATGAATCATCCTGTAATCGCTCAACGCTACATTTACAAGTAGAGTGTCTCTGATTTTCTGCACGGCTAATAGATCGCCTACCTACCTAGAAAATCACACCCAGGTGGATTTGAATAGGTATAATTCTTGTTCAGGTGAACTTGCTACCCAATGACGCAAATCCTTAACATTTTCTGTTAAAGATATAGCAGAAACTATAAAAACATCAATTATAACATTGATTTGCTTATTACTGTACTTACAACACTCATACAAGTTATCAATTCCAAATAAAACTGCTGATCAAAACAATTCAGTCTCGCTGATATGCAGACTACGAAACTCTAATTTGATTACGACCAATTTAAGAATCTGTAAATACGGTAATGAAATTGTGCCTCTGTTTAATAGAAAACTATTTTGTCGTTCAATTTTTAATTGAACTAACTTAATAAAAATAGACAAAAATATTAAAATAATAAGTTGATTTTATTCCTCAACACAATGTTACTTTAAACTTAAATCTTATTCATGTGTATTTTAACAAGATTTAGGATTCGGAACTAACATTGAACCTCCAACTTCGTTCTTTGAACTGCCGTTGTCTGTGTAAATGAACTGTCGTCGGATGCGGAAAGCGTGCTCATCTCATAACTGATGTCTTCCCTTTCATCATTTTTGTGATATACATCTCTCGTGTTCGTGCCGTTTTGTGAGAATCATGACATACATGTTTTTGTTTCCACATGATTCGGAACCTATAACAAAACCAGAGGATGAAGTAAATAACAATTAATACTCTACCAAAAACAACATTAACAATAAAGAACACACAATTGTAGATGAACAGTATAAAGTGCTTTATACTATCAAGATGTATCCCATTTATCAGATACAGTGGTTGTAAATCATGGGCTAGGCCTCCTAATACGAACAGCTAGCAATCAGTTTAAGGGGCTTTAAGTGCTTTTTACGTGACAATTATCATCACATTTGGATATTGTTTCTGTAATGCACTAGGCCTAAATCAATTCAAAGAAATCATAAATCATTCATAAAACAAATTGAAATATAAAACCATTAACTCAACGCGTCAAAAGATAAATAGAATTGCAATATTAATAAAACAACCTTCTCTTTTTTGAGATGGGCTTCTTTTCAAAAAGCCCCGCCACCTCTTTACTTTTGCAAAGTAAAGAGGTGTGGGGTGGCGCGGGGGGGGGCTTCTTTTCAAAATTAATGCTGTACATTGTGGAAATTACTACTATAAAACAATAAATAGGGCCATTGTAACACCAATCTGAAGCATGGAGTGTATTAACCAGCATTAAATCACCTAAACTACTGTATAATCCAAGCGTGTTTTTAATTTATTTTGTTGCTTTGAAATTCATACAGTGTATGTACCGGTACTGTACTATTTCGAAAAAAAAATACCCATGCTATATATACCGAGGCTATTTTTACAAATTTAAGTTTGGGCTTCAATTCGAGATGGGCTTCTTCACGAGAAGAAGCCCATTGGGCTTCTATTCGAGGTTTTACGGTATTGGGTATGAAGCAGTTTTTTTTTTGTACAAATGTACACAGAGAAGATTTGTTAACACATGGAGTTGTGACTATAACAACTCTTTGTAATACAAAGATGTGCTTGGTGACGTACCGTATAGAACACATTTGAATTATTACTTAGCCAAACATTCCTGTGAATTATCACGATTAATTTTGACGTTTGAACAAATAAATACCAAATCGAATAATAACCATATTTTTGCGTTCGTTTATCGCGCTCATATAATAACAATTATTTTTTTTTATTTGAAGGTACGATAATTATAACAGCGGCACGCCGCACTCGTAAATTTCACAAATAACCAAAAAATAAAGACATAAAAAGCAGGGGAGAGTAGGGGGGGGGGCACGTTCCTCTCCCCCCACCCCCATAATTTTTCCCCTAAATTTTAAAATTTTCAATAAAAATCAATGTTATGTGCTACTCACTCACCTATTCTGAGACTGTTGTGCCCCCACCCCACTCCACCGTTTGGAAAAATTCTGGATCCGCCCCCGTCAAAAGGCATTTATTATAACAATAATTTCACGTGTAAAACAATACCATTAAGGCCCCATAAAAAAAATTATTATCAAAGAATAAAAACTGGTGAGGGAGGGAGTTTTTTTTTTTTTTTTTTTGCTAATCCCGCCTCCATTTTACCAATGATCACAAGTAAATTAATGGTTAGAGACACATATATAAGAATGGAATCAAATTTATATTTAAAAAAATATGTTTTTGTTGTACCAGTAAGCATATTTGCAAGAAACCCTGAGCTTTTCAAGTGAAAAAAGATGGAAAAAGGACCGTTTGAAATGAAAATATATGTTGATTGAAAAAAGAAAAAAAAAAAAAAAAAAAATCAGATTTTTCCCAAAAGTGATGAGGGAGCGGGTGATAAACTAGGTCGGTGGGTAGTTGCCGTTGGCTTATTAAAAAATATAAGATGACCATGCTTTCCTTCATTTAGTAGGCCTGCTTAAAAAATTCAGTTGATTTATTAGACTAGACATCGTACTTCGGTCATCTAAAATATGTTATGCAGTATTGTGCATCGTATAGGACTAGACCATAGTATTAATAAATTTACTTAGCGGGACTTCTCAATTCTACATATACCGTAGTATCTGACATTTGACATCCATATATTAAAGGTAGCATTATCGATTTAACTTTGGATAAACCGTTTTTACACATTCAATACTTAGTAGATATTTAAAAAGCCCATTTGGCATTTTCTAATCCTGTGCTGGACATGTTGACGATTTAACATCAGTCGGATCATGAGGCCATTATAGGTTACTGAGTTAGAAACACCGAGCTTACAATAAATGGGGGACGAAGCCGGATGATAGTTTTGCAAAAAAGTGTCTTGCAATTGGATTTTTGTCAGTCGGAAAATTAAATTAACATGTGGGAACAAGTCTTGGTAGCTAACACGTAGAAAGGCACGTTGAGTGAGCAATAACCATCATTTCATACCTTTTATAACATTACCGGTACGTCAACCAGAGTCACCTTCCTCAACGGCCTCGCTAGATCAAGACTGACCTACGGGTGTCACTCATGGAGACCACTCCAAAGTGAACTTAACAAGCTCAACTCTACATATAACTACTTTCTAATGTCTATAATAGTTAACGGGTTCGAAAGACAAAGGTCTCCAGAAGTAGCATGTCGTGTGCCCAGTATCGATGAAGAGGAAGAAGAACGAGTGGAGGAAGAACCTGACGACGATGTCGACTGGTCATTTAAAATTCTCAATTGTAAAGACCATTCCTATACAAGACTTTTACAGCCAACAACAAGTAAACTGGATCGCTCATGTAATAAGGCGTGAAAACTCAAATCCATGTAAAAATTCATTGGACAAGAGTAAGTAAACGTGGTAAAAAAAACCACATCAATTATTGAGAGAGCCACAGCTTTTAGTGGACTCTCAAGAAATCAATTCATCAGAGACTGTTTTCTAAAACGTAAGTTTTAATAGATATAATAGATATGTCTAGCTATAGCTTCTTTTATTTTTCTTCTCTCCAAGTTAGGCTTGAGTTGCTTGTGAAGGATGTGAAGGAATATGAAATAAGAGAATTAAGGCAAAGAAAAAAAAAAGGAAAAGAAGAAGGAAAAAGAAAAGGTACTAACACCAAAGAAATGAAAAGAAAAAGAAAGAAAGAAAGAAAGAAAAGAAAGTCAGAGAAAGACAAAAAATAAGGTAAAGGAAAGAAAGAAAAGAAACTAAGAAAGAAAAAAAACGAAAGAAAAGATAAGAATACGAAGAAAAAGAAAAGAAAAAATAAAAAGAAAGAATAAAAGAAAGAAATGAAATAAAAGTAAAGGAAAGAAAGGGGAAAAAAGGAAAGATATGAAAAAAGAAAATGAGAAAGAAAAGAAACTAAAAGAGAAAGAAAACAAAAGGAAAGAAAAGAACACAAAAGGAAAGAGAAGAAAAAGAAAGAATAAAGAAAGAAAAGAAACAAAACGTAAGAAAGAAAGGAAAAATAGATAAAAAAAATAAAGTACAGTGTATAGAAACAACAGAAAGAAAACGAAAGAAAAAGTAATTGATGACAAATAAAAAGAAAGACAAGGAAAGAAATGAAAAGAAAACTAAGGAAAGAAAGGAAAGACAAGAAAGAAAAGAAAGAAAGAAAGGGAAAATGAGAATTAAAGACTAAATTCGTAGAATAAAATTGGTAGAAATATTAATATTAATATAAGTAGCTCAGCCTAATTGGAGGGAAGAGAAAAAGAAAGGAATGGTAAGTATAAAATCTATAAAAAAAATGCACGACTGCAGGATTTTCTTTTAAATGGTTAAATTAATTTGAATATTTCAAAATAATGGCTAATTTTTCTAATCAATATGTATTTACAACATAATATAATGTAATATAATACAGGATTGTTAAATATAATATAATCTAAGATTATCATGAGATGTAATATGCCAACTAGATATTCTAGTCAATGGCTGCCAATAACTGATATATTTTCAGTGGCTACATTTATTATTATTAGTTGTAGAACGAATTAAGATGAACGAAAGGGATGAAAGTCCCCGTCCTGCGTAAGTAAATTTTATACCAGGCTTACATTGTGTTTTTTTTATCCATTAACATTATTGCAAGGTTAATACCATTGGCCACAAGGGCCTTATAATATTTTTTCACAAGAATGCGAAAAAGGTACTTGTGATATCAAGTGTTAAATGTGTTAGATTTTATCCGCTTGAACAAGAAATATAATGATTAAATATAAATACTGAATAACACTTTCAGTAAACTAAAGTGGTTCATTAATAATTATACACATATACTGATCAGTGAAAGCAGTGGCGGATTAAAGGGGGCCCAGCCCCCCTCCTAATTTTTTAAAAATTGTAAAAAAAATGGATAAAAAAGAAAATGATTCAAATTTTAAATCTGAGAGTGCCATTTCCGGCCATCTAGACGTGACATTTCTTACTTCAGCCCCAACCATGCTGGGGCTAAGGTAGTATAGATCCTCCATCTGTCAAAGTCTCTCCCTGGGCCCCCCTCTATTTCAAATTCCTGGCTCCTCCACTGGAAATTACCAGTTATAATGTAGGCCTACACTAATTATAGTCAGGGGCTGATCCAAGATTATTCGTTAGGGAGGGCTACTAGAAATTTCACATGATTTGAATTAACACCGAGATAGATGCTCCCCTGTTTACACCCTTCCCCTCTAATTCCGTCCATGATAGGCCTGATTTCATTTTCAAGAAAATGAAAAAAAGGTAAAATATAGGCTATACTGTCAGTGTTGAGTTAAATGAAAAATAAAATTAAATATATGAGTTTGCATATTTTGTGTATTAAAAAGGTTATACGCTTTCAATTAAAAAAACGAGTAGTGTTTCCAATGCATTATTACACTGCGTAGCTGTCCCCGGATGCAATCGGGAAGGTTTCTCGATTTGACCGACCAATCAGCGTCGCCAAAAGCTGTCGTCGGCGATTGAGTGTAGCGATTTAATGACATCTAGGTTTTAACAGACGAATACAATATTGTTTTGACAATTTTCTCATTGCAAGTTAATAACTCATTTGGTCCTTTAAACAAGCGATTTGATTTAATTTGTAGAGTTTTCCTGATTTTACAACAAAAGTGAAATGTATCCGACCGACCAATCAGCGTCGCAGAAAGCTGTCGGCGATAGTGTGTAGCGATTTTATGAAAACAACGCTTTAACAGACGAATAAAATATTGTTTTGACATTTGTCTCATTGCAAGTTGATAACGCATTTGATCCTTTTAAACGAGCGATTTGATTTAATTTGTGGTGTTTTCCTGATTTTACCATAGAATTGAAATATATTTATGGCATTAGTGCAGCCTGTGAAATATTAAACCTGAAATTACACGTAAGGTAAACATGAATAATAAGCATTGAAAGTATGAGACTTCAGAGGATTCGATATTGAAATTTAAAATGATTAATGTCATAGATTTGAAACTTGTTTGCTTATCATTTGGGAGATTCCATAGAGCAATATATATTGAGAACACTGTAGGCATAAGCTAAAGTAGGCTAAGTGGATAAATTCTGTATTCTGTATTGTCAAATTACATGTTTACAATATGTACTAAAACTAAATTCATAGTTAATTATTTTATGAACATACTTTTCCTTTCACATTCTTAATTTACACAGCGTAAACAATAATCATTTCCATAGTTTTAGAGATCCACCGTGGCCCGGGCCTCTACCTCTTCAGATTCAATTACTTTGAATTCACTGTCCACACAATCAAATTTATTGTGTCCAATTTGTGTGACGTGCTCACATATGGACATGATATCATATTACTCCCAAATATGGGCATATCACTCTTATTTGTCACATAAAATATGATAGTGTGGGGACAGGCCTTAAGAATTGGTAGACGCGTTGAAACAAACGCAAGCGATGCTACTACTAGCAATGCGCAGTAACGTTGCTGTGTTTCGCTCTAGAGTTTGAACCAACGTCAGGCCTGGTTTCCTTAAAATCGCTACACTGTCGCTACAGTGTTTTCAATGCCATCGTTGTCGACAGAATCAATGACCATCGCCGAAAGCTGTCGACGATAGCGTGTAGCGATTGTACGAAAACCAAGCTTTAGTGTACCACGTGTTTACGTTCACATAGTAAATTTCTCCAGGTTAGGTTACATTAAGTAAATCATCTAAAGACGTTCTCAATGTGTGAATGAAATTTGTAGTGTGTGTAACATCAACTAACACAAAATGCCTACACAATTCTCAAGCCAAATTATACCACGACGATTAAAAAGTACTTTATCAACTCCTTCCCCACTGTAACTAGCCTTCTTCAATGAACGCGTCAATGTTGCGTATATTGAATTAATTTCAAGTAAAATACACACAGCACCTTCCGAGCAATCTCCCACACTCTGCATAGATTATATTATCCACAGGAGCCTACTATAATAAGTCGGAGTTGACAGAGTTCATATGTGTGTTAACAGAAATATATGCGATTTTGTTTAAGGTGCGTCACATAACAGGAGCGAAAGCATTAGGCCTATGCTGAGGAGGTTGACAAATGCGCCGGGATTGAGGAGATGTCATGGGGCTTATAAAGACGCAAATAATATTTGCATCGAATACGAATTATTCTATTATACTAGACCTATAAGGGCATCGAAACACCAGCGGTGGCTCTAGAAATTTGCCGACAGGGGGTCCCGAATCCAAGGGGCCGACTAGAGCCTCGAACAGGTTCCCGGATTAAAAATCCCTGGTAGGATTCACGGGGAGAGTTATTATGTCTTAGTAAGCCTATGGCCAGATTTGTGATTTCAGACCACAATATTAGTACGTTGCCAATTCAGAAATCGGTAAGCCAAATACTAGTCAGTCTCTCCCTGGGCCCACTACACGGTCTCTCGAGGCTCTTGGACTTGTACCGTAAAAATGCCGCATCTCCGTAACGTTTGAATATCATCATTGTAAACATTGGTATCAGTGGCGTAACGGCTATGAGCTCTCACTGTCTCAATGGCACAGCAAAAATTCATTTTTGCTGTGCCATTGGCCTTTTTTCAAGACAAAGTCTGTGGTATTTACTGTAATAATATTAGGGATATCTTAGTTAAAATTAAGGATGCTTTTTTTGGGTCACATCATGATGCATAAACGTTGAAAAGAAATAAAAAATTTGTCTTAGAACGGTAAAAACGCCAGATCCCACCGGGGCCCGGTCGCAGCCCCGCCCCCAGTGTATGGTGCCCCTAAAAGGCTGCTGTCCAGGCGCTTCCGCCTCCTTCGTTAAATCACTGATTGGATGTGACCCCCCCCCCACACCCAATATAACTACGATTGGTAAGTTGTTAATTTAAAAGGCCTGACTGCCGATAGACGCAAATAATATTACAGTATTATAATAAAAGGGCTATAATATAAGGGCTTCGACGCAAACATGTAGGCCTACGTTGAGATGTGACCCCATACCCGTACTACAACCATTGGTAAGTTGTTAATTTAAAACGCCTAGGCTGCCGATACGAAGGCATAACTAGGCCTTTGTTAAATCGTAAGCGCCATGTGAAATACAAATGTCTTGTCCAACAAAAATATTAACAAATCAGAATAGACTATTTTATTAAAGTAGGTCTAAGAAATTAAGGAATCAACAATATGTTTACAGCAGTCTAAAAGCCAGCTGTGAGCTTTTCATTCAATTATTCCCTTATCTATTTTGTAGACTACTAATTCTGCTATGGGTTGCATTGCTCAGAAACGCATGATTGCACATTATATCACTTTTTGCACTTTTAACAGTAGCTATATATACAGATCGTAATGCGG